TCTGGGTGCCAGTGTCACCTGATTCCCAGGCTGCCCTGGGCTCCTAGTTTTAGCAGGCACTCCACGTAATTCGGAGACAAATTCCTGTGGGTGTCTCGAAAAAATGCTCTATGAAAATAGCTGTCGGCTGGGCGCGGTGGCTCAAGCCTGTAATCCCAGCACTTTGGGAGGCCGAGACGGGCGGATCACGAGGTCAGGAGATCAAGACCATCCTGGCTAACACAGTGAAACCCCGTCTCTACTAAAAAATACAAAAAACTAGCCGGGCGAGGTGGCGGGTGCCTGTAGTCCCAGCTACTCGGGAGGCTGAGGCAGGAGAATGGCGTAAACCTGGGAGGCGGAGCTTGCAGTGAGCTGAGATCCGGCCACTGCACTCCAGCCTGGGCGACAGAGCAAGACTCCGTCTCAAAAAAAAAAAAAAAAAGAAAAAAAAAGAAAATAGCTGTCATACACTAGGCATCTGTCATGTGAGGAGCATCGTGCACATCCTATTATTATGTTTCTGATCCTCACAAGTGTCCAGTGAGGCAGGCATGATCACCAACAGACATATGTATTTAGGGGTTGGTGGGTGGGGGAGGGTCCTGCCTCAGAGTTGATGGGAAGATTAAATGTGATGGTTGCAGAGCACTTTGAACAGTGCCTGACAAAAGTTATTGGCTTAGCTGCTGATAGATGGAGAGAAGTTAAAGAGTTTTTAGTAAAAATGCCTGGAGTATCCTCTCCTCTCCTCTAACTCCCTAATAGAGCAGGGGCAAATCTGACAAACTCAAGATGATATGACAGAATCAAACATAGCTTTGAGTAAGTGCAATGACCCTTTTCTACCCATTTTCATGCAACAAACCTCTCTCCCTCAGAGCTATGCCCATCCCACTCCACCTTCTCATTGATGACCCAGCCTCTTGAGAAAACAGACAATCAAGCAGGAACTTCATCTTCCCACCACCCAATCCACCAGCAGTTGTACCCTAAACTTTGCAGTCCAACCGCTCCAATTTTAATATGGATTCTACACTGAAGAATAACAAGAATATTTCACCCCAAAATATACTTATTTGACATATTCCGAGGGGCTGAAACCACAGGAATAGCTTTGAAGAGCTGTCTTTTGTGGGGGAGATTTGCATCTGCAGAGAAAATCTACATTAATGAGGTAAACAGCAAGGAAAACAGGGATGCAAATAGGCTTTCTCTGAGGCCCCCCCTCACTCAGATCGAGGAAAGATGCACTCAGGAAAAACTAAGGAGGCGAAGGTCTGACACTTTAAAAGATCTGACAGAAACTTTTCCCACAGGCTACATCCATTTTTTCTGACAGCTGCTGCCCGTGAGGTTTCACTGGCATAACAGGACAGCCTGTGCTTGCCAAGCTTTCCTCTTCTGGCTCTCCCATAACCTGTCTTGATGCATTCCAAACCCCTATTCTTTCTATAACCACAGAATAGTGTAAAAACTTCAGGCACCCTTAGAGTTTTCATATTTTGTATGACTCTCGAGCACAAATGTGCCTGTAATAATCTGCTATGGTTTTCTCTGCCCTATATAACCTGTCTTTTATTATAAGAATGTCAGCTGTGGCCGGGCGCGGTGGCTCACGCCTGTAATCCCAACACTTTGGGATGCCAAGGCGAGCAGATCACGAGGTCAGGAGTTTGAGACCAGCCTAGCCAACACAGTGAAACCCCATTTCTACTGAAAATACAAAATTAGCTGGGCGTGGTGGCAGATGCCTGTAATCCCAGCTACTTGGGAGGCTGAGGCAGGAGAATCGCTTGAACCCAGGAGGCAGAGGTTGCAGTGAGCCGAGATTGCACCATTGCACTACAGCCTGGGAAACAAAGAGACTCTGTCTCCAAAAAAAAAAAAAAAAAAAAAAAAAGAATGTCAGCTGTGACCCCTTTATGAAGGGGAGGAAAGGGATCACCCCTCTTCAACCCCTACAGTTCCCTTCTTGGTTGCAAGGACTCTACTCCTGCAATTATTTTCCCCTGCTCCTGTAACACCAATTACTCATCTTCTACTGAATTATTTTCAGCAGCACACAGACATGCTCTAGTATCTCTTACCTTGGTGGGATTGTCCCCCAAAACATTTACATATGTGTACCATTTTTCTGATCCTCTTTATAAAGCAAGGCTTAACTAGCTCTTGTCAATGGCATCTCTGACCTGCAACCATCACTTATGGGTTGACAGAGTTGACATGATTGGCTGCTCCCTCCTTGATATTCTTCCTTTCTATGTTTCCATGAGATCAATCTCCTCTTTAAGATTCTATTTTTTTTTTTTTTTTTTGAGACCAAGTCTCACTCTGTCGCCCAGGCTGGGGTGCAGTGGGGCGATCTCAGCTCACTGCAACCTCCACCTCCTGGGTTCAAGCAATTCTCCTGCCTCAGCCTCCCGAGTAGTTGGGATTACAGGCACCTGCCACCACACCCTGCTAATTTTTGTATTTTTTTGAGACGGAGTCTCGCTCTGTCGCCCAGGCTGGAGTGCAGTGGCATAATCTCGGCTCACTGCAATCTCCACCTCCTGGGTTCCCACCATTCTCCTGCCTCAGCCTCCTGAGTAGCTGGGACTATAGACGCCCGCCACCACGCCCGGCTAATTTTTCTTTTTTTTTTTTTAGTAGAGTCGGGGTTTCACCATGTTAGCCAAGATGGTCTCGATCTTCTAACCTCGTGATCCGCCTGCCTCAGCCTCCCAAAGTGCTGGGATTACAGGCGTAAGTCACCACGCCCGGTCTAACTTTTGTATTTTTAGTAGAGATGGGGTTTCATCATGTTGGCCAGGCTGGTCTCGAACTCCTGACCTCAAGTGATCCATTTGCCTTGGCCTACCAAAGTGCTGGGATTACAGGCGTGAGCCACCTCGCCCAGCCAGCTATTTTACATTCTAGAGAACCCCGGGGCTCCGTCTTGCCTACCCTCTCCCCGCTACCCCTTTTCTACTTATACTCCCTAAGTAATACCATTCAGTCCCAGGGCTTTAGCTACCATTTATATGCTAATTTTCCCCAATTTGTATCTCTAGCTCCCAGGGGCTTCCCAGGGATCTCCTTAACCAAATCCAAAAACTCCTGCTCTTACTCCCAAACCTGCTCTTCTGCAATCTTCCACATCTTTATAATTCCATCCTTCCCACTGCTTGGGTCAAAAAGGTAGCAAGCAGTCTTTTCCCTTATACCCCATATCAAATGCATCAGCAAATTCATCTCATCTACCTTCAAAATATATCTGGAACCAGAGCACTTCTCATCACCTTTACTTCTCCCTCCTAATTGAAGCCTCCACCACCACTGCCACAACCTCCTACACTAGTCTCCCTGCGTCTGCCCTTGGTGCCCCCTCCTCCCCAATGCCACATCCTTTGTTCTTTTTTTTGAGACAGTCTCGCTCTGTCAGCCAGGCTGAAGTGCAGTGGCGCAATCTCGGCTTACTGCAACCTCGGCCTCCCGCCTCCCAGTCTCAAGAGATTCTTGTGCCTCAGCCTCCCCAACAGCTAGGATTACAGGCACGCCACCATGCCTGGCTAATTTTTGTATGTTTAGTAGAGACGGGGGTTTCACCATGTTGGCCAGGCTGGTCTCGAACTCCTTACCTCAAGCATCCACCCACCTCAGCCTCTCAAAGTGATGAGATTATAGGCATGGGCCACCGGGCCTGGCCGCCACATCCTTTTTTCAACACAGCACTATTCATCAAATGAGACTGCATCATTCCTCTACCCCAAACCTTCCCATTTCTATCAGAGTAAAAGCTCATGTCCTTCCACAGACCATCAAGGCCCTATGGGATCTGGATCCATACCCATTACCATCCTGAGGCTTCTCCTGTTCCTCTCACCCTGCATCCCTTTGATACAGCCACACTGGCTCCCCGCTGTTCTCTAACATACAGACAAGCTCCACCTCAGAGCCTCTGTACCTGTGTCCCCTACGTGACACAGTCTACCTTATCTCCTTTGGTTCTTAGCAAAACGTCTTCTTCATAGGGCATTCTCTATCCACGCAATTTGACAAACACTTCCTCTCCCCCAGCACTTTCTATGTACTCCCTCCATGCTTTATTTTTCATCAGTGATAACAATCATCCAACAGGCTACATACACTTAACGATCATCCAACAGGCTATACATTTTACTTATTTACCGTCTATCTACCAACGTAAGTGCGATAAGGAAAAGGACTTTTGTCTGTTTTGATCACTGCTGAAACCCTAGCACCTTAGAATCCCGCATCTGAGCTGATGCGTAATCGGCGCTCAACAGGCATTTTTGTTAAGGAATCTGTAAAATGATAATTGCCAAAACAAATGCCTCTCCATCTCTATAAACGGTATTACCTGCCTGCTAACCAGTCTCTGGAGCATTCCTGCTCCCTACAATCCGTTTACCACAGTGGCAGAATAATATTAAAATATTTAAATCAGATCATTTATTTACTCAGTTTCCTATCACACTCAGTTAAATTCAAGCTCCTTATTCAAACGCATCTCACGCATCCTTCTCCCCTTCATCCACTAGATCCAGCGTCACTAGACTGTATTTTAATTCTCTTCTCTAAGCCAAACTGGATCCTGCCTGAGGGCCTTTGCGCTGTCTGGAATATTCATTCCCCATCTTTGCACGGTCAGTTATTTTTTGACATTCAGAGGTCTGTCTAAACGTCACCTCCTCAGAAAGGTCTTTATTCAATCCCTAGCCTTTCACTCCTTTTGAACGTCAGCACAACGCTTACCACATACTGACTTTCCTTTCCATCACTTTTGTCCCACCACCTAGTATCTGAGCTTCTTGGGCGCGAGGCGCGACCTGACGGTGCATCCTCCTCGCCCACCGCGGCTGGCTGCCCCCCAGCAGGCGCTCAGCGAGTGTGAACCCAATGCGTTCACTCAGGACTCGCGAGCTGCCGTGGCAGGCACTGCCCTCCCCTCCGCCGGCGAGCATCTCCCCTTCTCCGCGCCCGCCGCCCTCCGTGCTCCCACCCCCCTCGCCTACCTGTCGGCCAACTCCAGCACCTCGTGCACGCTGCCCGTGCTGACGCGGATGCGCCCGGTGTACATGTACTCGATAACGGCTTCCACAGTGTCGGGTTCGGGCCCCGGCTCGGAGCTCCACTTGCGCATCTCCACCCGTCCCGAGCGGGACTCGGAAAACTGGCCCGAGAGCAGGGGCGTGAAGTACTCGGTGGCGGCAGCCAGTACCGAGCGGTGGGCCCGGAACTCGCGGCCTCCAGCCCCGCCGAAGCACAGGGTAATGTCGCAGAAGAGGCCCTGGCGTCGCTGCTCGTTCTGCCGCCAGGACAGCTCTGAACAGTGAGAGCTGCACTCGAAATCCTCGGCTTCTGGGCCCGGATCGCCCCCGCTCGCCTCCATTGCAGAGATCCCTGGCCCAGGCCCGAAGTCCACCGTGCCGCTGCCTCGGACCTCGGCGGCCAGGCCTGCCGAGCCGGCAGCGGCCGTCTCCATGCTCTCCATCTCCAGCACCTGAAGAGATGCAGCCGCGGCCGCCGCCGCCGCCGCCGCCACTGCCGCAGCCGCCATCTTGACGCCACCGCGCCCGGCCTCCGCAGCCTCGGAACTATGCGGCCGTTTGGTGCGACACAGAGGGATTCTGGGATTAAATAGTGCGCGCGGGGCGGAGCCGGGTAGCCCGCGGGCCGCGCATGCGCCGCCTTGCCTCTGGCAGCCCTGCCTGCCCTGGTGAGGTTCGGCTGTAACTGTCGCCCAGTCGGGATGACTTCGCCCCAGGCCTCCCCACGAGGACGTCGGTGCGAGGATGGCTGGCTCCCTTTCCTTAGTGGGTAGCATGCTCTCTGCAGTCATTTTGTCGAGTAAAAGCCACCTAGACCATCACCTGTTGTTAAAGCCTTGAGTGGCAATACAGGATTTTTATAAGATCTAGCCTCAGCTAGGTGGATGAGGGATGAATGAGTTACTTTTTATCCGTTTTTTTGTTTTTTGTTTTGTTTTGTTTGTTTGTTTGTTTTTGAGACGGAGTCTCTCTCTGTCGCCCAGGATGGAGTGCAGTGGCGTGCTGCCCGGGTTCAAGCGATTCTCGTGCCTCAGCCTCCCGAGTAGCTGGAACTACAGGCGCCCGCCACCGCACCCAGTTAATTTTTTGTGTTTTTAATAGAGACGGGGTTTCACCGTGTTAGTCAGGATGGTCTCTATCTCTTGACCTCATTACAGGCGTGAGCCACCGCGCCCGGCCCCCTAATTTATTTTCTTTTATTTATTTATTTACTTATTTGGAGACGGAGTCTCGCTCTGTCTCCCAGGCTGGAGTGCAGTGCCGCCATCTCGGCTCACTGCAAGCTCCGCCTCCCGCGTTCACGCCATTCTCCTGCCTCAGCCTCCCGAGTAGCTGGGACTACGGGAGCCCGCCGCCACGCCCGGCTAATTTTTTGTATTTTTAGTAGAGATGGGATTTCACCGTGTTAGCCAGGATAGTCTCGATCTCCTGACCTCGTGATCCGCCCGCCTTGGCCTCCCAAAGTGCTGGGATTACAGGCGTGAGCCGCCGCGTCCGGCCCCCTATTTTAATTTCTAAACACGGGAATATTGCCTAATTTGTAAGCTCATAATGAGGATTCAATGAGATGATACTGAAGCCAAGCGTCTGCGTAGTGCTTTGGTTCATGGCCAATGATCAGTATATACTTGTTGAAAAGATAATTTAAAAGCTACTTTTGGGCCGGGCGCGGCGGACCGCCTGAGCCCAGGAGTTCCAGACTAGCCTGCACAACATGGCAAAATCCCGTCTCTAATAAAAATTCGAAAATTAGCTGGGAACGGTGGCGGGTGCCTGTAACCCCGGTGCTTTGGGACGCCGAGGCGGGCGGATCACTTGAGGTCAGCAGTTGGAGACCAGCCTGGCCAACGTGGTGAAATCCCGTCTCTACTTAAAAATACAAAAATTAGCCGGGTGTGGTGGTGGGCACCTGTAATCCTAGCTACTTGGGAGGTTGAGGCAGGGAGAATAGCTTGAACCCTGGAGGCGGAGGTTTCAGTGAGCAGAGATCGAGCCACTGTACTCCAGCCTGGGCGACAGAGTGAGATCCTGTCTCAAAATTAAACCGGGCGAGGTGGCTTACACCTGTGATCCCAGCACTTTGGGAGGCGCGAGGCAGGTGGATCACGCACGAGGTCAGGAGTTTGAGACCAGCCTGACCAATATGGTGAAACCCCATCTCTACTAAAAATACAAAAATTAGGGGGCCGGGCGCGGTGGCTCAAGCTTGTAATCCCAGCACTTTGGGAGGCCGATACGGGTGGATCACAAGGTCAGGAGATCAAGACCATCCTGGCTAACACGGTGAAACCCTGTCTCTACTAAAAAATACAAAAAAAAAAAAAAAAAAAAACAACTAGCTGGGCGAGGTGGCGGGCGCCTGTAGTCCCAGCTACTCGGGAGGCTGAGGCAGGAGAATGGCATGGACCCGTGAGGCGGAGCTTGCAGTGAGCAGAGATCATGCCACTGCACTCCAGCCTGGGCTACAGAGCGAGACTCCGAGACTCCGTCTCAAAAAAAAAAAAATTAGTTGGGTGTGGTGGCATGTGCCTGTAATCCCAGCTACTCGGGAGGCTGAGGCAGGAGAATTGCTTGAACCTGGGAGTCGGAGGTTGCAGTGAGCCGAGATCGTGCCACTGCACTCCAGCTTGGCGACAGAGTGAGACTCCATCTCAAAAATAAAAATAAATAAGTAAATAAATGTCACTTGGGGATTTTAGACAAGGGAGTGGCTCAATTCAATAGGTTTTAAAAAAATCACTGGTGGCTGTGTGGAGAATGCAGTGTAGGCAACAAAAGGGGAAATAGCCGACCAGATGTGGACAGATGAGAGTGAAAGTTGAAGGGTCAATCAACAAGACTTGGCAACTGGAGAGGGTAAAGGGTGGTTTCCAAGCTTTTGGCCCAAGTACCTGGGTAGCGCTTTGGTTACCATTCACTCAGGGAGAGGTATAGATTTAGGGGAGGAAATAAGTGGGCTTTGGAGGTTCTTGATGCTAGTGTTTTATTTTTTGAAAAGGTAGATGAGCACTTTTAAAACCACATATACTGAAAGTATCAGTACAGTTCAGGCCAGGCACAGTGGCTCACGCCTGTAACAGCACTTTGGGAGGCCAAGGAGGATGGATTGCTTGAGTCCACAAAAAATACAAGTTAGCCTAGAGTGGTGGTGCGCTCCTGTAGTCCTAGCTACTTGGGAGGCTGACGTGGGAGGATTGCTTGAGCCCAGGAGATGGAGGCTGCAGTGAGCTGTGATGGTGACACTGTACTTCAGCCCTGGGGCAACAGAGTGAGACCCTGTCTGGAAAAAAGTATAGTTACAAAGAAATACAGATCAAAGGATGTGGATGCCAGGAGCCAGCAGTATGCCTTCATTGATAACTATATAGTTTATTTAAACCAGACTATGATAATACAGAGAAGAGACTGAGGTGGCAGCTGCCCAGAATCTTTGTGGATTACAGATGAAAAGTAGTTAGGAGTCCCTGGATCCACACTTCAGTTACAGACAGACAAGTCAGCTGCATAAATACAGAGAACATAAGACACAAGACATTTCACAGCTTTTTGCATTTCCATTTTAAATGTATGTTACAGCTTTACATATTAAGTTACTACTCCACATATTTTGTGACAATGGCTAAGGATGCAATGGTCCCATCCCCCTGACATAAGCAGACTCTGGTCTGCAACACAGAACATTTCAGTGGGATACCAAACAAGTCCTTAACACATAACATACAAAAAGATCTTCAAAAATCAGATTAATACAATGTTCTTCATGTTATATAAGGAAGAAGAAAGGGAAGTAAAAAAAAAAGACATTGGGGTGCTTTAAATGTATAGTATCTTGAGGCCTTAAATGTTTCATTCCCTTCCTCCAAGGGAGAAAAAAATGTTTAACTAATGGAAAAAGAAAGCAACATCCTAACGCCCTACAATGAGGAAGAACCCCATCCTGACAGTACTTAGATGCTTCCATGAAATAAATATAGCAGGTAGCAGAGTAAAGTCACAAGTATTGGCTTGGTTTTTATTTCTATGCTTATAAAAAAAAATATGAAGCTTCTTTGTGTGGGCTGAAGGGGTGTTAGCTTGTGGATGTTGGTCTTCGGTGCCTATACCCCAGTGGCTATTTACATTCCAGGCCCCTGCTAAATAAAGCAGGCTCCACTGCCAGCTGTCTGTACACTTTTTCCTTGCGGGGGGAGTTCTTGTCTTCGGTTTACTGCAGTAGGGTTCCTGGCTTTGTTACATGCTCATGTGTTCCGGAAGAACATATGAAATATCGTCCCATGGATGACGATACAGCCCCTGCTTCAGCCTCTTCTGATCAAGATAGTGTCCTAAAATGAAGCAAACACATCTTTTTTATTAGAGCTTCATAAGCCTGGTGAGAGGGAGAGGCTAAGGAAGGGAAATCTTTCTAACACACAAAAAAAGGTAGATAGAAAGCAGTGGGAAGCTTAGTCCAAATCCATTCCATAGGTAGATGAGGCAGACTTTGTACAAGAGAGCTGTTGGATCTGATTCTATTTTCCTTTAAATTAAAACAAAATTTTAAAGGGAAAAAATAAAAAATAATAAAAATAGGCTGGACGCGGTGGCTCATGCCTGTAATTCCAGCACTTTGGGAGGCCAAAGCAGGCGGATCACGAGGTTGGGAGATCCAGACCATCCTGGCTAACACAGTGAAACCCCGTCTCTACTAAAAATACAAAAAATTAGCCAGGCGTGGTGGCACACACCTGTAGGCATGCGTCTGTAGTCCCAGCTACTTGGGAGGCTGCAGGAGAACTGCTTGAACCTGGGAGGCAGAGGTTGCAGTGAGCAGAGATCGCACCACTGCACTCTAGCCTGGGCGAAAAGCAAGACTCAGTCTCAAAAAAAAAAAAAAAAAAAAAATTAATTCTATTTTCCTGGGCTAGCAATCATTTCTAAGAACAAAGGAACAATGATAAAGATAAGGGGAAAAGTTAAAGTAAGAAACAAAAGATTAAGAACAATGATTATGAGGATATGACATTTCTTCTGTAGAAACTGAACCACAAAGAGAATTTTAAAAAGAAAAAAAAAAAAGAAACTCAACCCCATGGGTAAGTGGTATAGCTGAACCATGGGGGTTTAAACAACAACAACAACAACAAAAAACACTTAAAACAATAACGAATGGACTCACCAATGAAGCCCATACTCCTTCCCAGCACAAAGATGCCATTGAGGGCTCCAATGTCAATGTATTCATCAGCTTCCTCCCTGCAACACACAATCAACTTGTAGTTTTAAAAGGCTCATGTGACTGCCCTTCTCCCCAGACAGTACTACTACTGCCCAGGAATAAGAAGAAAAGGGGTGCTCTAGCCGGGCGCGGTGGTTCACGCCTGTAATCCCAGCACTTTGGGAGGCCGAGGCGGGCGGATCACAAGGTCATGAGATCGAGACCACGGTGAAACCCCGTCTCTACTAAAAATACAAAAATTAGGCGGGCGCGGTGGCTCACGCCTGTATCCCAGCACTTTGGGAGGCCAAGGCGGGGATCACAAGGTCAGGAGATCGAGACACGGTGAACCCCGCTTACTAAAATACAAAAATTAGCCGGCGCGGTTGTGGGCGCCTGTAGTCCCAGCTACTCGGGAGGCTGAGGCAGGAGAATGGCGTGAACCGGGAGGCGGAGCTTGCAGTGAGCCGAGATCACGCACTGACTCCAGCCTGGGCGACAGGGCGAGACTCCGTCTCAAAAAAAAAAAAAAAAAAAAAAAAAAAAAAAAAAAAAAAAAGGGGTGGTAGGATTACAGGCAATTTTTGTTTTCTTCTTTATACCTCTCCTTATTTTTCACATACTCTATTCTGAGTATGCATTACTTTTATAGTTTGGAGGAAACAACAAAAATCAACAAACGTAACGAAGAAAACAGCTGCAGTGCTCACCGAGTAAAGGACCCACAGTTTCTAAGCATGTCCACGAATGCGACTCCGATGAGACCATCTACGTTCAGGATAAGATTTGGCTTCTGGGAAGGCAACACATTCAAAGCATTTATCATTATTTCTCATTTTTTCTTCATAATTTTCCACTGTTACTACTATTACTACGAATTGTGACCATCATTTAAAAACTTCTACCAGCCCCACTGGTTGACACTGTGTCTGACTCAGTTCAATTTCCAGCATCTAGCAACATACCCAACACCTAGCTGACATTTAGTGCATGTCTGTTAAATTTAGTTACGAAACAAAAATAACATTTCCAGAAAACTAGGTTTGCTTTTAGCTGCATAATCAAAATGTAACCTGGCTCCTATTTCCTCCAATAAATTTGTCCAACGTAACATTAGGGAACCAGGAAGTTTTTCCTTTGTTACCTTTGAGGTGGTAATCTTCTCTACTTCCAGTGCATAATCGAGCAGAGGAGTGGCAGGAAAGTGCTGCCTGACGTAATCTTTGAGGATCTGCACTCGCATGTCTGGGTTGTTTATCTATAAATGAACCCAACGTTACAGAGGAACACTCACACACTGCTGGGATGTGTTTGTTCATACTTGTATTACAGGTCGGTAGAACTGGACATATCCCAGAGGCGATTCAGGAACCTGACCCACGTGTACAATTCCATGTGGCACCAATTGTGCTAATGTCATGGGGCTAGCTTTTGAAGTCCTCTCATATCTCAATTGGGACACAAAACAACCTTGGTAGGTTCTCACTTTTTTTTTTTGAGACGGAGTCTCGCTCTGTCCCCCTGGCTGGAGTGCAGTGGCGCGATCTCAGCTCACTGCAAGCTCCGCCTCCCAGGTTCACGCCATTCTCCTGCCTCAGCCTCCCGAGTAGCTGGGACTACAGATGCCCGCCACCGCGTCCGGCTAATTTTTTGTATTTTTAGTAGAGACGGGGTTTCACCATGGTCTCAATCTCCTGACCTTGTGATCTGCCCGCCTCAGCCTCCCAAAGTGCTGGGGATTACAGGCGTGAGCCACCTCGCCTGGCGGTTCTCACTTCTAAGTTACAAAGAAGAAACTAAGCCCTGAGATGTTCAGGGAGCTGGCCAGGTCCTACAGTGTTGAGCAGCAGAGGTCTGAAAGTTAACCACTCTCCAACTCAGTCTTAGGTTCCAGCTTCCAGCCACACCCCCACCAGCTCTGTGCCTACTCAAGCTGTGACAGAGTTCAACACTAAACAAACACGTGTTGAGTGTGGGAGGCAAAGTATTCCCAAAATTTTAGGAAAGACTATAGACCTGCTGTGAATGAAATTAACCACCTGTCAGTGGGGGAGGAAGATGATCTAGGGACACACCAAATCCCAATACCGAAGCAACTTCCGCCCTCAGCAAAGAGATAGCTGGGTCAGTACATCCTCTAGAAAGTGAGGAACTCAAAGAGTGAATGAGTGAGTGTGGCGTGCAGGTCTAGCATTATCTTAGAAAGGCCCTGTGTTGTAGATGGGCAAGGAGTTATATGGTCAGGAGCTGGGGCTGGCTGAGCAAAGTTCAGCAAGTCCTAGATGGAATGTCCCTCAGAGTCACCCACCTTCCCTGCTTGGTTCTGAGCTGGTCCTTGCTCATCAAGCAACCTCTGGGTATCTCACCTGAGATGGCCAAATGTTTGGCTGCCTAGAAGGTGGTGTCCTGAATCACATGCATGACCTTCATATTAATACTCCCCACCTAGGCCAGTGGAGTGACCAAATACATGAGGTTTTTGGAGCTACAGAGCCAAGGAGCCCAGGGCAAAGGGATCTACTAAGGAGCTGTCCCCATATGGCCCTGAGCAGCTGCCAGTGACCTCATCTCTTGCTCTTCAATTTCTAACCACAGCACACTATGAGGACATACAGATGACTGGCCCTGTTAAGACTATATCAACTGTTTAAAATACTTACTGTCCTTTCCCACTGGTCTCTCCCAATCGGATATGCCTTGATACTATCACTCTTCCTGCCCCAGTGATGTCACAAATAACCACTTAACTTGTGGTGGCCAATGAAATGTGAGTGAAGGGGAATCATGTAAGGCTTTAAGAGCCTGCACGTGGTCCTGCCATTGCTGTTATCCTGCTGACGTGAGGCCAGCACATCCCAGACAGGGGCTGTTCCTCCAGCACAGATGGCAGAGAACAGGCACAGCCAACCCTCAGTGGATATAGTGTGAATGAGACATAAACCTTTGCTGTGGTAAGCCACTGAGATTTTTGGAGTTGTCTGTTACTAGCCTAAAGTGACCAATATGTCCCCTCAACCTGACCTTGGTCCTTTTACCCATAAGGTTCATTTGGGAAACCAAAGTTACCATATTTTCCATCTCATTTCAGCTGCTATTTCCATACTGCAAGCGAACGACAGAAAAACTGTTAAGGGCAATCTGTTATTATCAAATGGAAAAAATAGCTGTCTTGTATTTGGCATCTGTCAACACATCCAAAGCTTTGTATGTTGGGAGTTGAAAGCTTAGGTATTGGCCGGGCGCGGTGGCTCAAGCCTGTAATCCCAGCACTTTGGGAGGCCGAGACGGGCGGATCACAAGGTCAGGAGATCGAGACCATCCTGGCCAACACGGCGAAACCCCGTCTCTACTAAAAACACAAAAAATTAGCCGGGCGAGGTGGCGGCGCCTGTGGTCCCAGCTACTCGGGAGGCTGAGGCAGGAGAATGGCGGGAACCCGGGAGGCGGAGCTTGCAGTGAGCTGAGATCTGGCCACTGCACTCCAGCCCGGGCGACAGAGCGAGACTCCGTCTCAAAAAAAAAAAAAGAAAGCTTAGGTATTCTCCCAAATAAATTAATGCCCCCTATCACCACCCACCCGGCAGATCCATCCCACTTTGTTGTTGTTGTTTGAGATAGAATTTCACTCTTGCTGCCCAGGCCGGAGTGCAATGGCATGATCTCGGCTCACCACAACCTCCATTTCCCAGGTTCAAGCGATTCTCCTACCTCAGCCTCCTGAGTAGCTGGGATTACAGGCATGCACCACCATGCCCGGCTAATTTTTTTGTATTTTTGGTAGAGAAGGGGTTTCTCCATGTTGGTCAGGCTGGTCTCCAACTCCCGACCTCAGGTGATCCACTCGCCTTGGCCTCCCAAAGTGCTGAGATTATAGGCGTGAGCCACTGCGCCCGGCCTCTATCCTACTTTTTTAGGAGAGTAACAACTCACCGACTTCACTCGGTGACCAATGCCCATGATCAGTTTCCCTTCCTTCTTCATCTTGTTCACAAACTCCATGGGGATAATGCCACTGTCAAAGGCTTTACTGAACATCTTGGCTGCTGCATCCAAGGCACCCCCAAACCGATCCCCCTGCAGGAGAAACAAGTGAATGTTGCCTTGAGCTTTAAGAATTTCCTTCAGCTGGGCAAACCAACCCAGTGTGTCCTGAATGGGCCTGAGCACTGGGTTTTACACTCAGGGGCTCCTTCTAGGGCCCTGCTGTGGCAAAGCAGCATGAGGCCAGTGTCCCCACTGTTCACCTCCCAGGATGACAGTACTTACGATGGTGAGCAGCCCCGAGGTGAGGCTGGAGACCAGGTCTTTCCCAGCTCGCGCACAAATGATGGTGTTGTGGGCTCCTGAGACGGCTGGCCCGTGATCAGCTGTTACCATCAGACACATCTCAATGAACTGGCAAGAGTACTTAGGCAACCTGGTAGCCGGGGGAATGAAAGCGGGGAGAGAGTCGACAAGACCACGCTCGTACTTTCTCCCATCTCCCTAAACAAGTCATTCAAATCCAAGACGGGTAACTACCAATCCAAGTCTAATACTACCACACAACTCTCAGGCAAAACCTCCTGATTCTTTTCTTTAGACAGAGTCTCATTCTGTCGCCCAGGCTGGAGTGCAGTAGTACAATCTTGGCTCACTGCAACCTCCACCTCCTAGGTTCAAGCAATTTGCCTGCCTCAGCCTCCCAAGAAGCTGGGACTACAGGTACGTACCACCACACCAGTCTAATTTTTGTATTTTTAGTAGAGACGAGATTTTGCTATGTTGGCCAGGCTGGTCTTGAACTCCTGGCCTCAAGTGATCTGCCCACCTTGGCCTCCCAAAGTGCTGGGATTACATACAGGCATGAGCCACCATGCCCGGCCCCAAATACTGTTTGTAAAATAGAGTTTGAAACCAGAGTTTTATTTTTTTATTTTTTTTATTTTTTTTTTTTTTTTTTTGGCAGTCTCGCTCTGTCCCACTGGAGTTATGGCGATCTCGCTCACTGCAAGCTCCCTCCGGTCCCGCCATTCTCTGCTCAGCCTCGAGTTGCTACAGGCCGCACCACGCCGGCATTTTTTGTATTTTTGTGGACGGGTTCATTGTGTTAGCCAGATGGTCTCATCTCCTGATCGGTCCGGCTCCCAGGCACAGCTGAGCACGGCCGGCTGACCAGAAATCCTCTGTCCAGCTTGCACCAGATGTATTTTATGCATGTGCCAGACAGGGGGTGAGAACCCTGTCCCTTCACAGTGTAAGAGGCCCCATGCCTGGTTCCTGTAGTATTCAACCTCCCAACTAAGAATCAGGAACAAAGTACGGAGAGGTGGGAGGCAGGAGCAGACAGAAAGAGACCTGCTCAGGTGTCATAACCCATGAACTTTTCCCAGGAAGGGTCCAAAGCAGGACCAAGACCCATCTCTCTGCAGGTGAGGGCATGACACAACCCAAGACATTGACCTGGCCTTCTGCCCGGCACCACCTTAAGCCAGGCCTCTGTGAATCACATACTCACTGGCTCCCCTGCCCAGCCGTCAGTCCCATGGGAGGGCTAAGATTGGGAGTTGCAGAGAAAACCAATTTTTTCTAACATTCAAGCTGACGGGAGAAAGAAATTTGCAAGGTGAACACAACATAAGGTACTTTCTTTTTCTTTTCTTTTTTTTTCGAGATGGAGTATTTTTGCTCTTGTTGCCCAGGCTGGAGTGCAATGGCGCGATCTTGGCTCACTGCAACCTACACCTCCTGGGTTCAAGTGATTCTCCTGCCTCAGCCTCCTTGAGTAGCTGGGATTACAGGTGCGCACCACCATGCCCAGCTAATTTTTTGTATTTTTAGTAGAGACAGGGTTTCACCATGTTGGCCAGGCTGGTCTTGAACTCCTGACCTCAGGTGATCCACCTACCTCGGCCTCCCAAAGTATTGGGATGACAGGCGTGAGCCACTGCGCCCGGCCCATAAGGTACTCTCTATCTGTTCAGCAGTGTCACGAGGCCCACACTCCTTAGGCCACCACATTTTCCAGTTCTCTCCTGCCTAACCTCTATCTTGCTGTCAAGAGGTCTGCATTTGGCCGGGTGCAGTGGCTCATAGCTTAAGTGTCCTTCCTCTGCCCTTTCAATTGACCCG